ATGAAGTTTTGGGGGTCACTTAAAGGACAGAAGAAAGCCTGTGAGCTGGAGAGTTTCTTAGCCCTTCCTCATCACATCCCAAGAGTTGTCTCTTTGCTCACTCATAAGCCCTCTCTACTTTCTGGAATTCTTTTGCCCCCTGTCTACACCTTGACTCAGAATTCCTCAAGCAGAGTCAGCAAAGAATCTACTTTTTTGTTGTTGTTTTTTACTGTGAACTATCAGAGAGTGAACCCCAGGTGAGCCAGACCTTCCTTCCTTAGGGAATTTCCACTCCAAACTGAGGCTGGTGCTTTGTCCTTCATGCAACTGCAGACCAGTTGTCTTCACAGCCTCCTCCAATGTGGGAGGTGACAGAGTCAAATGGGAAACTTTCTCCCCAGGCTTGGCTGTTCGACTGTATCCCCCAGAAAGAAACTATTCCTTAAAAACCTAATAACATGAATATTTTATTTGATTGTAAGTGTAACAAATGTACATTATAAAAAATGTGGAAAAAATATAAGTGAAAATCACTCATTAGCCTACAAAGACAAAATGTAAGAGTTATTAAAAGCTGTGTGATGATAGCAGTGTGTGTGTGTGTGTGTGTGTGTGTGTGTGTGTTTGCACAAGCCACCTCTACCCACTTGTCTGTAAATCTACCCGCTTGTCTGTAAATCTAGAAGAATAACTGCGGGGTTTGTGGATTGTATGAACATGACTGCAAGCCCAACAAAGCGCTTTTGTTTGTATGCGACATGTCGGGGTGAATATTCCACCACCGCTTGTGTGTAAGACAAAGGAGCAGGCTGGAGTGATGTCTTTTGACCAACATACAGATCAGGCTCCATTGTCTTATAATATTTTTCTCTGCATTGCTCTTTAAAGCATTTTTCATATTACATGCCCCATCTCATATCACATTAACCCAAATAAAAATGCCATTATCCATTCAGTTCGACAGACAGCAGGCCGAGTGTGGCAGAAAATCGCAATCACACCAGCCAGCAACAAAACACGCCAGCCACAGCTCACAGAGGACCCCGTGATGAGCAGCTGGCCCAGCCCCCCTTTTGCAATTGGATTCTGTATAGGTAGACCCCTCTTTACACGCGGGGCATGCTTCTGAAGAGCTGTGTGTACATCAAATGTTAGGTAGCATTCCATTTCTGTTGCATTAAAGCAGCTTCAAGCTCGATGGGGAAAGCCACTCCCTTTCAAACAGGATTTTTTTTTCTTTCTTTGTTTTACACCATGTTACGACTCCTCTGAAATAAACAAATCTAAGAGATACTTAGGTATGTGGGATTTTAGTAAAGTCCAGTCCACTTGGCCCACTCACTCAGTTTATTAAAATCCCAGGAGGAAGACAGGCAGGCTGAGGATGGGGCTTGGTAGGACTGAGTTCTCCAAACCGTAAGTGGGCTGAGAGTTTTCTAAGCGCAACCGCCCAGAGGTCACCACAAGTGCCCCATGGAGGCACACTTTTCTACTGACGGATTATTAAACGGATGGTTTGTGAGTGTTTAGGAAAGAATGCAGTGGTCACCAGCCCACCCAGAGTTACCAAGCACACGATGGTCTCCCTCCTCTCTGTTCTGAGCAGCTTCCAGTTAGGGAGGTGGGAAAAAAATCACAGTTCTGTTTCTATGAATCACTGGATGACGTCTTCCGTGGCAGACTAGTGATATGATGCTGAATGTTGACTTAGCTTGGTGCACAGCTGGCCGGAGAGCCAGAAGGTGGTGATAATGGCCAGCTCTGTGGCCACCTGAAGGAGCAGTGCAGGGGGCCAAGGGCTTGGCTCCCGATACCATAAACCAGGTGGGAGCTTAGCAGGCACGTTACCAAAGAGCAGATGGAACAGAAATAGACTGTGTTACAGGTGATGAAATTTGAATGCCTGAATACAGCCCTTGGCCCACCCAGGGGTGTTTTTACTCACGTAAATTCCAAAACCACCGTACCCCAAGCTCTTCTGACTTGATGAGAACCACCTCCCCCTGTCCCCCAGGATTTCTCTCTGCAGACACTCCCGCCAAGACTCTTGGCCACAAGGGGGCGTCTCAGACAACATGGCTTCTCTCAACTGGGATGTGGGTATGTTCTGCCCTGAACATCTGTGCCTTGACCTACCTGCTGCTCGACTACCACAGTGCTTCCCAGGCCACGGGCCCTGTCTGGGGACCCACGCAGCCCTGAGTTCAGACCCTGGCTCACTCACCCTCACTCAACAAGACACCCCTCTGCTTCTCAGGACCAGCTACTGAAGCAGTTAGGCCCCTGGTGACACTCTGCTCTTCACACCGCTGGCAGGTGGGCTGGCGTGAAGCAAGAGGTGGGTGGGAAAGTGTCCAAAAAGCCACGTGTCCTTCCAACATCTGGCCAACAGCTGACCCAAGTCCCACTTCTCCAGGCTTGTCCAGTAGCCTGAGTGTCTTAGAGCAGTTAAGAGACGGCTCTGCTCAGAACACAGAGCAGGACACCTGAGCACAGCAAGAAGTCTTATGTAAGCCTAAAGCCTTTCTAATGAATGGGCTCCCATGAGTCAACAGATCAACTGTACATGGTGATGATTCATGGAAAAAGACCTTGTGGTGTTCACTGACCTGAACCCCAATGTTTGCCTGTGTAACATGTCTTCTGAAAAGTCAACGTACACTGGCTTTGTGATTGATGTGAGGGAAGTGATCCACTTGTGATTTACCAGATCACACCTGAAACACACTTTGCAGTCATAAGCACTTTTTAAGGTGGCACTGGAAGGGAGACGGGTGGGCAAATCATGTGGGGACGGGATACAGCAGTTGGAGGGATGAGAACAGTTGTCCAGGAGGGGACCAGGGGTACCTGCTCCCTCTGCAGCTGGATCACAGCCACAAGGAAGAAAGTAGAAATGAAACTAGCCGAGGCTGCTAGAGGAAGCCTGATTTTGCCTCCAGACCACACACCTTCTAACATAAAGTTTAACATTTGACACTTCCTCAATGCCTCAATATTTTAAGAGCAAAGTTTATGGACTCATGAAGATTCACTGGCTGATGGATTCATTCATTCACCCCACAAGAAATTATTAAGTGCCAGGCACTGTTTTAAGTACGGAGGAAACAAAATGAACAAGCAAAATTCTCTTCTGTGCTTAGAACTCATATTCTGGCTGGTGTCAAAAAAGCAAATTCTAAACTTAGATAACATTTCAAAATAAGTTTTCCATAAGAAATGCTCAGAACAGGGTCTCCCCGGTAGCGCATCAGTTGAGCACTGGGTTACGAAGGTGCCCGCAGCCTCTGCAGCGCCGGTTCGATCCCCGGCCGCCGGGTGAAGGTCCCACATGGCGCGTAGACCTCTCCTGCCACCCGCTGCTCCCCTCAGCAGTGTACTTCGGTCCTGCCTGCTCTGCTCCCCGCTCTAACTCTGGTGAATTCTCCCACCCTCCCGTGCTTCTGACTGTACCCAGTGCTTGTATAAATAAATAAATAAATCTTAAAAAAAAAAATGCTCAGAACAATGGATCACAGCAGGCGGTGTTTGCTATGGTGTTATTCTAGAAAGAGCCCTGGCTAAAAGGAGTTCCCTCCATGTTTCCAACTTGGCTTTTCAAACTTACAGGAGAGAACAAAAATTTGTGTTGGTGCCGATCAGGCTCCACTAAGAATTCCATACACTCAAGAAGCCTGTTGGTCAAAAAATGAAATCGTGATATGCTGGCATCGTGTAATCATTACAGGAATGATCATAATGCTCTTCACCTTTCTGGGAGTGTGTTAGAAATTTTTTAATATTAAAAATATATTAGGGCCTCCCCTGGTGGTGCAGGCAGTTGAGCGCAGTGCTTTGAAACTGTTCGCAGCCTCTGCAGCATGGGTTTGATCCCAGATGGCCGGCGAGATACCCACATGGCAAGGCAGAAGAGGTCTGCCAGAAGAGGTCTGCCTTGCCCGCTGCTCCCCTCAGCAGTATATTTCCGTCAGTCTGCCTGTTCTGCTCCCAGCTCTGTCTCTGATGGGTCATCTCACCCTCCCACATATTGGGCCTGTACCCCAGTTCTTGTATGCATAAGTGAATAAATCTTAAAAAAATATATATTTTTTTAATTAAAAAAAAAGAAATTCAGGGCCTCCCCGGTGGCGCAGTGGTTGAGTGCTGGGTTGTGAAGCTGCCCGCAACCTCTGCAGCGACGGTTCTATCCCCGGCTGCTCCCAGGCCGCTGGACAAGGGTCCCACATGGCGCGCAGACCTCTCCTGCCGCCTGCTGCTCCCCTCAGCAGTGTACTTCATCACTCTGCCTGTTCTACTCTCCGCTCTGGCTCTGGTGAATTCTCTCACCCTCCAGCGCCTCTGACTATCCCAGTGCTTGTATAAATAAATAAATAAATCTTTAAAAAAAAAAAAAGAAATTCAATAGTTGTCCTAAAGGACAACTTCACATAGGAAGCCTCTTGAAGTTAAGGGGAGCCCTATATTCGAATATTTAAGCAGCCTAAGCAGAAATAACCATTTGTCAGAAATGCTCTAAAAAATGATGGTCCTATTGAATAAGAAGTTGGAATGGGTGACCTTAGGTTCCTTTGGAATATGAAGAGTCTATATTCTAGGGGAAGATCTAAAGTATAATTGGAACCAAACAAACATGGATTTGGGCTAATTCCAATCCATATGGATTGTGGTCTATTAACTCTAATGCTAACCAAATGTCATGAAACTGACTACTGCTTCTCATTTCTGTCTAAGCACTTAACAATCATTTTCCTAATTATTTCACAGTATTTACTCTAGATCCTTCCTTCTTTTAGTTTCTAAAAATAAGATTGCTTAAGCTCAAAAGACGTGTTCAGCTATTGTATTTTATGATGTTTGTGAATCTTAGCCCTTCCTCTTGAATCTTAGCTGCATGAAAGTAGCTTTCAAAACAAAGTCCATTTTCCCAAGAAGCACCACACACAACCTCTTTATCTGCAGCTAATTTAGGTGTGCGCCTTGCATGATGTCCTAATTATACCTTTGTTATCTGCTATCAGATGATTCCCCTAATCAGCCAAGCCTGCGACCTGCTCCTGGCTCATTTAAAGCACTACGCGGAATCTGGGGACGCTTTCGACATCCAGAGGTAAGGGCCTCATCGCCATATTACAGATGCGAAATCACAATTTTGAATCGCTACTTCTTGGAAATGTACATAATTGCTGAATAATTACCTCGGGATCAGCAAACTATGAAAAAGCTAGAAGTTCATCGAAGCATGGGTGGGTTAGTAAGAAGAAATGAAATCCATGTGACCTGTGAACACAGCTGGGGAGGGGGTGGCCTATGGAAGGGAGCCTTGGGTGGGCAGTGGTGTGTAGGTACACCTGTCCTCAGACCTGGAGTGGGCAGGACACACCTGGACAGAAACGACAGGGTCCTGGGGGGAAGGTCTGCACATTTTTACTTCAAGATAAATCGTAGTGCGCCTCAGCCTAGAAGCCATGACTTAGTGATGGACACCAAATTTAAATGATGGTCTGGTTTCCTCCAAGCTGTCCTATGCAAATTCTGATTTATAGCAGATTAGGAGTAGCGGGGCGGATGTGCCAGAGGCGGGCTTGTTCTTGTTATCATCACTAATAGATACCATAGTCACCACTAGCACTTCAGCTCTGCCATATTGTTCACAAAATCCTCCTGAACACATTCTCTCTGGTCATTAGATGCAGGACTTGGTTCATGACAAGATGGTTTTAGTGGCTATAAATCCTGAGTCTACAACTCAAAACTTTCAACTCTTAACCATTAGGATCAGGTGAAATCACATTCAGGAGTCCAGTTCTTGTTTGAGAAACTGTAGGGATGTTTTGGATAGAAGCAGGCAAAATTCAGGAAGTTGTCTTGAGATGTCACTGTCCCATAAAGATAAGCCGATGCTTAGAGAATTTAGGAAGAAGAGGAATTAAGTATGTGACCACACCAAGCCGGGAAAACAGACTTTTTAATTATAAAAGGACATGAAAGGCCAGTTGTTGCTTTATAGAAAATTACTTCACCTGAACACACCCACAAGGTAACAAGAAGGATTGTTTTCATTTAAAACAGCTATTTGGGCCGGGGAGTTGAGGGGGGGAGGGCAGGTTTCCTGGAGCCTAAGAAGTTAATTCTTGGGGAGCTGCTGCCAGACAATTTCCCTTCTGTTTGTTTCTGAAGTGCAACGTGTACTTTTTGTAATAATCTACATATGGTCGTGAAGCTTGTCCCCAAGTTTTTCTTGTATTTATTTGCACGTGAAAGGCCCTTGTTTTTTGTTTGTTGCTCTCACGGAAACTGTCAAATCATTAGGAAGGTTGCGGGGCGGGGATGAAGCAAATAAAACGAGGCAATCCGGTTGGTAATTCATCCATCCCAATTTGCTCCGTGTCAGTGAATCGTGAGATCCTGACCTGGGCTGGGCTCAGGCACAGCTTTGCGCCAACTACATTCCCTCCTTCTCCGGGAGAATTCAAAAGGTGCTTCTTGGTTTTGGACTGTCTGCTGCTCAAGGCCGCCCAGCCCCCGGAAGTGAGTCAGTGACGCTCTCTTCCCCGCCGCGGGTCAGCCACCTGTCGCGCTCATGTGTCCCGTCTCTTGTTCTGTTGTCGCTGCTCCAAGGGTGGACGTTGTGCTCACTCTCCAATCATCCCCACCCCGCAACCCCGCAGCCGGGGGCCCTGGAGGGAGTGTGATGGGTGGCCTGTGGCAGAGTCCTTTCAAAACCCCAGCACTCCCTCCCCCACAGGTGCTACTGCTTCTACACCACCGACGTGGTGGCCAGCGTGGCCTTCGGCACCCAGGTGGACTCCCGGAAGTCTCCCGACCACCCCTTTGTAAAGCACTGCCAGCGTTTCTTCACAGTCTCCATCCCCAGGCCCATCCAGGTCTTGATCTGTAAGTACCGCTCCTGGCAAGGGCCATCAGATTGGGGTACAGGGCAGACCCATTCACCCGGCTAGGCCCAGGCAGCTCTCAGGGTTCCGTCCCTGCCTCTAAGAAAGGGCACTTGGGGTGCCTCTGAGAGTCTCCTAGCAAGACCTGGTCTTCCTGGCGTCACCTCTTGTCACCAGCGTGGGGTCACCTGTTACCAGCACAGGTGGTCCTGGACTCTCTCTCACCTGGGAGAGCCTGGCCTGCACTGCCCTGTTGGTGTGTGTTCACTCAGAGAATCCATGTCACAGAGGAGGAAACTGAGGCTTAGAAAAGCAGAAACAAGCCTGGAATCCAAAGCCTTTGCTTTCCAAGGTTTACAGTTCTGCCCCCTGCAACACCCTCTCCAGAAGATGTCTCCGCTTCAAGCCCAGTAATTGTCAACTAGAGTCAGATGTGCTGGGCGGCAAAACGATTTATTTGATTTTCATTTTAGAAGTGTTTCAACCCCAATGCCAGTATCTTCTTGCCTTGACAGAAGTGGTGTTGATTGCTGCCATCTTTCTGGGGGGCTGGTAAATTCTATCTGCTCCCATTTTGGAGTCACTTTCAATGGAAACCCCTGTTACCTCCAATTTCCATGGAAGCCCCTGTCCCGCTATCTGCTCAGCACTGAAATTGTAGGTGTCACCACTATGGAGTCCCAGTGGCCTCCTTCAGCCTCAGCCCCAGAGGAGCTGCTCCAGCTGCGTGGGCCCCTCTGCCATCTACAGATGCCCATGACCATTGAAGTGGCTGGTCCACTGTGCTGGCTCCTCCTGCTGCCGTGCCATCCCCACGCTGAGCCCACCTTCCCACTCTTTCAAACTGGGTCCAGCTCCTGGTCTTGAAATCCGGCAGAGCCTTCTGAGACTCTGTGGGTCCGGGCCTGCCATCTCCCCACAGTGCTGTCCACCATGGGGCCTGAGAAACCAAGCTGAGCCCTGCTCTCCTGTGGTGGGTGCAACCCCAAGGTCCAAGCTACCCCCCACCCCACCCCGAGCAACCCAGGTAGCCAGTCCCAAGGGCATGGCAGCTAGGGCCCGGTCTTGTCAGCACCACAGTGGCAGCTCTTAGGGACGAGTCAGGTGACAGCTCTGGGGACAGTCATCCAGGGGGAGAAATACAAATGACCAGAAAGTTAAGAGAGTAGATGAGCTTCTACCAGTAGCTAAGAACTGAAATGTGGCCTGCTTCAATGAAATACCAAGCCCCTGGGCCCTCATGCCTAGGGCCTAGAAAATGAAGGATAAGCCAATCTTGGCTTAGCATATTCTCCTACTTCTTGAGTGCCAGATGGAGGTGGGGAGTCCACTGTACAGATGCCTAGCCAACGCGTGCCAGGCCTGGGGAGGTGTAGGAGGTGGGGGGGTGGCATGAGCTAGCACCCTGCCCAGAGGAGCTGCGGTGCAAGAGAGATGGGCCTGATTGGAGGCCAGGCTCTGCTTCCTGGTAACAGGCATCTAATAGCCCTGCTTTATTATCACCCCCTTTTCAATGCCACTTTTGTTTTTCTCTTTCAAGTATCATTTCCATCCATAATGGTCCCACTGGCCCGGATTTTGCCCAATAAGAACCGAGATGAACTGAATGGCTTTTTTAACAAACTCATTAGGAATGTGATTGCCTTGCGGGACCAGCAAGCTGCAGAAGAGGTAACGTATTTTAATAGGACACAGCATCGAAATGGAATGGAACCTAATTTGGCATCCCTGTCTCTCTCCTCTCCCAACCCTGCACACCACACGGCGCTGGCCTTTAGCAATCTACCAGCCAGCGCTCCCCAAAGAGGCTGAGGAAGAGCAAACAAGGCGAAGGCAGGTGGGAAAGAGCCTGGGGAGCAGCCCAGGGCAATTTGTCCCCACTGTGACGCGAGTAGGATTACCCCCTCACCCCAATTCACAGGCCTCGCTCTTTCAAGCATCACTTCGGGCATAGGTTCTAACAGCCTCAAAGAATTTTCTAGGCAAATGTGCCCACATGTTCTTCTCATCAGCGTGTTCTTTGTAGTAAAAAGCCGCAAGATAGAGTTGGAAAGAGGAGTCGGCAGCTGTTAGCCAACTCCACGTGCGCCTTTGGTGGCGTGGAGGACGTGGCTCCCAGATTCATGGTTGGGGCGCTGCTTCCCCTGAAACCTAGAGGCATCTCCCCTCCTTGCAGACCCACACTATGCTTGGCACATAGTAGGGATCGAGTGTTGATTGAACTGGACTGAGACTAGAAACAGGAATTTTCAGCGTTAAGGAGGACATTTCAATCCAGATAAGTTCGTGCAGGTATCATGCGATGCTTGAAGGGCCACGCTGCATTCGAAAAAGTTGTTTACAAGGAAAAACAGGGCTGAAGTGTCTTTTCCTGAATCAGCTTGTGCAAGGGGTAGCTTTAAGAGAGTTCCCTCAAAGACAGGGTGACTCAGAGCAATTAACAAGGAAAGGATGTGTGGTCCAAGCACCGTGGCAGGGCAGAAAATGAAATCAGGGGTCAGTCAGTGCCTGGAGGCCTGGACCAGCCTTCAGAGGCAGTTTCGCCCCACCCAGCTCCGCACCCCCCTCTCCCCCGCTTGCCTGAAACTGTGCCACAAAGGTGTGAGGTCCAGAGGCAGGCGGGAAGGTGCACACAGGCCCCAGCTCACGCCTCTGTGAAGTCAGTGAAATGCACTTGGATGTGTGGGAAGAATCAGCTCACAGGCACCCCTGGCCTTCTCTGTGAGCTGCAAGGACAGAACATTCTTACCCAGAGTGAGGATGGAGCCTGAGGGAGGGAAAGCATCATTTTCTCAGCTCAATGTTGGTATGAAGGGCTTCCCGATGGGAATTTGGTCACATGCACACCTCGCCCCGCCCCCAGCCTGAAATCCACTGGCTGTGGAATCAGGCTGAAAATTCTAAAACGGTTGCACCCGAATGGTTTACTAAGAGGTGAGGGGTTATTAAAGATCCAATTACTGGGATTGCCTCGAGGTTTTCCTTTTATAAACTCGAGAGCTATTTGTTTCAAACAGTGAGTTGATCTGAGAAAAACCTCCCAACCACAAATCCAGGACTGCCCGTGTCAAGACAGAGCTATATGGTTACTAAGAAAACTTGCTTTAAACCCATCTGAACTCTGTAGACATTCCATCAAGCAGATGTGTGTTTGCGCAGTGGAAAATGCAGCACAGATGTTAAAAGGTAAATATTTTTCTAAGCTCTAGCCCATGGGTGGATTAGACACCTACATCTATCAGGGTGCATATTTTTCTTGGATATAACCATAAACCAGCACTGTTTCGGTCCTAAATGGGCAGTGTTCAAATAGCCTCAGTGATGCAGTGCAAATAAAAGAAACCCATCGTCGCTAATGCTCCTCTCCAGCGCGGGCCCTGGAGAGCGGCTCTTTCCTCTGGCCTCTGTAACAGGGGCTAAAGATGGATTTCTGCCACACGCGGCAGCCCTGGAGCAGCCCGCCTGAGCCAGGATGAAAGGAAAGCAGGCCAACTGAGGGAGCCATGGGAAAGCCCGACGGTGCGGAGGTTTTGTGTCCTCTCCCATCCTCCCCCTCACCCCAGTCCAGCAAAGCCACAAACACCCCAAGGAGTTTCGAACATGCCAGCAGAGCACCCCGGGGATGCTCTGGGGTCCCGTGCTGGTAACCAGGGGCCCGGGCAGCAGAGAGCGCTTGCTTCCCACATGTGCCAGCCCTGCCCTGGCTCTGCCCCACCGGACCAGGGCCAGCAGCAGAGTCACACAGCTGCCCAGATGTTGGCCAAGCTGCCGGAAGGATGCTGGGAAAAGTCAGCCCTTGAGGAGACCCAGGTGGAGAGCAGAGGAGCAGGGCCCGGTGGAAAGAGGTGGCCGAGGAGGGCCGGCCCTTTGCCAGCTCTCAGCAGGGGACCCGCACGCTTGCCGGCCGCTGAGGCCCCGCGGCCTGGGTCTCCAGGTTCCAGCCGCCCGCAGGCTTAGCCGTGAGCCCAGCTTCAAGATACAGGGACGCTGCAGCACCGCAGAGGTCTCCTGATGCTCAGGGCACGCCGCTGTGAACAAATCCAGCACAGGCTTCAAAAACATATCTACCGCACTGCTTTCACATGCGTCGGTTTATCACGGACGTGCCCAGCACCACGCCAGGCCCAGGCAGGGAGTGGGCACGGGCAGGGTTTACTCTGGAGGAGAAAAACCAACCACACCCCAAAGAACTGCCTGAAAGGATGGAAGAGGTGTTCCTGTGTACACAGCGCGGATTACTAATGCGAGAGAAGCCGAGAAGCCACCGAGAAAATGCTACAAGTGCGGAGACAGTATATTTGTTGGTGCTTCTGACGCTCGCCTTTTGCCTTTTCGTCCCGTAAACTTCAGAGAAGAGTAGCAGGTTGCTTGTCACTCAGCACATGAAAGAGCTTTTCAAAGAAGGATGTGCCAGGCGAGGCTTTGTCAATGCTGTATTTTCACTAACGCGAATCATAACATTAGCAGTGTCTATTGTTACACTGTTTCTATTGTTACCATTCCCAGTAGTAAAAATATAAAGAATATGCAAATCGCTGATAAGGAAGGTTAGAGGAAAATGGCAAAAAAAAAGACCCAACCACTTAAATAGGGTAGCAAGCAGCGGGTGAGGAGACTGGTAGGATGCGGGAGGGAAGGGAGCCAAATGCAGCCTGCTAGGGACACACCTCCCAAGCGCCTTCCCTCCAGCCCGGGTTCTGGTAACTTCCTACCGTGCGAGAAAAACTTCCAGCCACCACGGGAGCACTGGGTTGTGCCGAAGTCGACAAGGGAGCATGCGCTTGGACTGAATGCACTAGGATGTTTTAACCGTTGGCAAAGCAACCAACAGGACAAGCTCAGATAAAGACTAAACCCCCCTGGTGTCCCACCAGCTCCGGCTCACTGTGAACTGCTGGGCATGGAGGTCACTAGACATTTGCTATGCGTGGACAGGTGCATGTAATTACGGATATCGGATGCTGACTCTTTTTACAGAAGTGAGTTTCCACTGTGCCTCCTGTTTTGTAATTTTTTTCTTTTTATACTTAACCAAAGTGGTTTGACCTAGTGCATCCTCAGTGTGAGCCAGGGCTGCAAGGGGTGTGCAGGGGACCTCAGAGAACCCCACAAGGATCCCTTGTTCCTCTGAAGCCCCTCAAAGCTGCACATGCGCGTCTTCCTTTGCGCCCCGGGAGTCTCATTTACGTAACTCCAAGACCAAAGTGTGCATTTTCTTCTTCCATTCCTTAGAGGCGGAGAGACTTCCTCCAAATGGTGCTTGATGCCCGACATTCTGCCGCCTCCCTGGGCCTGGAGAGCTTTGACATCGTCAGACAAGTCTTCTCCCCTGAGTGCGCGGCCACTCCTTCCCGGCAAGGCCAGCCCCGACTCCTGTCCCAGACCTTGACCGTGGATGAGGTGGTGGGCCAGGCCTTCATCTTCCTCATCGCTGGCTATGAGATCATCACTAACACGCTCTCTTTCGCCACCTACCTGCTGGCCACCCACCCTGAGTGCCAAGAGAAGCTTCTGCGTGAGGTGGACCGCTTCAACCAGAAACACGTGAGTAGACACGCGGTGAAATCCGCGGGCTGGCTGCCTGCGCGTTCTCTGCTTATAGTCTATGTTTATAAGACGAAGGAGGGCGGTTGCCCACCTTCTTTGTGTCTCCGATTTAGCAAGTAAAATGTAGTGTTCAGAACAACCGAAAACAAGAAAATGATCAAGTAAATCGGGTACATACTCTCACTGTCCGGGGGTACGCCATGAAACCAGGTCTGGCTTGGCAAAGCTGCCAGGCCAAGTGGCCGGGTTGGGGGACATAGTTTCCCAGTGCTTGATCGTGGGGTCCCCATGCCCAGCCGTAAGCCAGAAACTGCAGCCAAGTTGGGGTGGTACCCCAAGAAAGAGCGACGATCAGGGGGTGGTGAGGAGAAAGCCTTTAACAGAGGAAGGTGAAATGGGGTGTTCAGCACTGAGCCCCTATTCCAGGTATCCCTTCTAGGTGCTATCCCTCTAGGATGGAGCTGAAGCAAATTCTCAAGGGTGCCAAGCTAGACATTACCATCTCTTTACTATCTGGAGGCTTTTGTATGTATTGTTTTGACCTAGGAGTTGTTAAAGAAAAAATTATTTTCACAATCTGTGCTTTGAGAAGGAAGGCCGCCATCATGGAGTCCTTCCTATTGCGTTCTGATATTCACAATGTCGGGAGGTAACCTGTTCTGCTATTGGAACCATCTGAATTTTTTTTTCATCTATTAAGCTGAAAATGTCTTCCAAGAAAATTTCATTTCTTTATCCCAGTGGGGAAGTCGACGCAAGGTTGGCCTTTCTTCTGTGTGTTAACTGCGTTACTAATTGCTTCAGCGCCGGGGTCACCATGAGCTTGGCGTCCACTCAGGGTTCTCTGATGTTATTTGACATCTGCCAGGCCAAGTGTCCCAATCCACTGCTTGTACAGTTGATTTGTTGAGTCTAGATGCAAGAGTTTATATTTATCCTTATTATTACTCAAGTCAGTCAAAATAATTTTGAATCTTGATTCCACCATCTGTCATCTTAGCAATTCCTCCAGCTTTGTGTCATCTGAGACTTGCTAAGCATGTCTCCTATTTCATCCAAGTCATTGATTAAAATGTTGAACAGGACAGGGCTTCCCTCCAGGTTGACATTGATCCATTAATCAATATTTGTTGGACATGGACTCTCAACAGCCATGAATCCAAATAACCTGCTCCACTCCCCATCTTACCCTGTTTTACTGGTAGTTGTGGTGTTTTTTCATGGGGGTGGGGGGTTGGGACCAAAGATGATTGGGGTGCATTACTATGAGAGAAGTAAGGATAGCTGAGGGGCATATCTATTAGGATGCATTTAATAGCAGTTTATAAAGCCCACCCACCCAAACAACCCAAGTGCAAAAAGCAGGGAGGGGGAACTTTTCAGAACAAATAACTAAGTAGGGCCTCCCTGGTAGCAGGAGGGGTTAAGTCTCAGCACTATGAAGCTATCCGCAGCCACTGCAGCACAAGTTCGATCCCCAGCCAGGGAGCTACCCACATGACTCAGCAGACCTCTCCTGTCTCACCCACTGCTCCCCTCAGCAGTGTATTTCTGTAGATCCACCTGTTCTGCTCCCCACTGGTGAATCCTCTCACCCCCCATCCCCCACACCTCAGGCCTATACCCCAGCTCTTGTATGCATAAATAAATATAATAAATCTTGAATTAAAAAAAAAGACAAATAACTAGATAGCTCAGGTATAGATGTGGCCTTCAGGCAAATCTCTACCCAGTCTTGAAAGAGGTGCTCAGATTCTAGTTCTGGCTCTAATTCCTTCAGTCACACCCTCCTCACTAAATCCTGAGCGCCTGCCAGGAGTGCTTGGGCTCCAGGCTTCCTTGCTAGTAAAGTATCTATGTCCCAAAATTCCCAGCAAGAGTTGTGAGTTCACACTGCAGGGAATGCTTAGATCACGCATGACCCATCTGTGAACCAACAGCCTTGGCCAGGAGGACAGAGCACATTAAGCCAAACAACCACACCCACCCCATCAACTTGCATGTCTGAGAACTTGAGAAAGCACCTTCCAGAAGAAGCTCTAGCTACTACTCCTGGAAGGCAATGGAGGGAAGTCAGCCCTCTGGTCTCAAAGAAACCAGCAAGCAGGCTAAATTAAGTCACGATCCTCACAGCCAAGGAATTGCCCAGTGAAAAACAATGTTATGTCTCCTAAAACAATAGCTCCCTTCCTGAAGTCTCAGCGCTATCACCACTACAGCCTGAGTTCAATCCCTGGTCAGGGAGCTACCCACATATGGCCAACAGACCTTTCCTGTCTTGCCCGCTGCTCCCCTCAGCAGTGTATTTTAGTAGATCCACCTCTTCTGTTCCCCACTCTGTTCTCTCTCTCTCTCTCTCTCACACACACACAGCCGTATCTCTGGCCTACACACAAAAATAAATAAAATTAAAAAAAGAAAAGCTCCCTTCCAAACAAAATCCTCCAGGGCAATGGAAGACAACAAGCAATCAAATCTAGGCGGTGCAGTGACATCTGGACAGCTATGGGGCTCTAAGTGTCTGTCCCGTGTCATGACATCTGGTTAAATGCACCTGCCAGGAGGATCCAGGGCATGTTTCCAGAGGCTTCCACTCAAAAGCCCTCCCACACACAACTTCCTACCTCTGACATGGCCTTAGCTTATCATGCTCTCAAGGAAGGTGACAGTGTCTCACCAAACCCTGGCCTCCTTCTAATGTCCCCAGCCTAGGATGGGGGCTTCTTTCCCCAAAGAACAGCTCCCGCGGGGCTGAGCAGAATGCTGGAACCAAGACTCCCATCGACAAATCTAGTTTTTACTAGAGAAAGGCCCTCAAACTTTAGTGCGTATAAAACCATGTGGGAACATAATTTAAAACACATCTCCCAGGGCCCTGCCCTCAGAGGTTCTGATTCTGATTACCTGGACTAGGGCTGAGGAAACGGATTTTTCAATAAACCCCCTAGGTGGTGTTGATGCAGGTGGTCCCTAGTTCCATTTTGAGAACACAGCTTCAGTCTCTTGGAGAGAGGGTCCGCAGCCCTGCCCCAGCCATTCCAGACCCCCAGGTCATTTTCTTTCTCTCTACAGCTGGGACTGCTTCCAAGAAACAGGAGTACACAGAGGCTGTGTTTTATAAAAGATAAATTTGGTGATCACAATAGTGGTAATAGTTGTATAGTCTTGTACATGGTACGCATGCTGTTTTTCTTTTATTTTCTTCCTTTTTTTAAAAAACTATAATCAGAGTTCTGTTAATATGGGCCATCTGTCAGGACATGGAAATGCAGATTAGATGTTCACACATTAGATATTTTCCTGAAAATATTCCTGAAAATTTGCATGTAAAGTATGTCTTGTTAGAATTTTCCTGCTGGTTTCCATTCAACAAATATTTCTTGAGTGCCAGTTTATGCCAGACTCCAGCTCCACCCTCCCCGCCCCACACACACAGGGGTGTTCTGACCTAGCTCTCCTGTGGTATCCCGGAGAGCCCCACACATCTCATTAGCTGGCCTTTCCTGCTATTTGTCGATGAGATCACTGGGTTTGAGCTCTAGAGTTTCTTTTCCCTGAGCAATGAAGTGCCCTGTGAGGATCCAATGACAGCTATGCCCTCTCCCCCAGAGAGAGAGTGTGTGTGCGCCCTGCATCTGTCAGGATTCTTTCTATTGACCGTGATAGAAAACTCAATCCAGACTAGCTCAGGGGGCTGCTGACCTGCATGACTGAAACTCCAGAGAGCAGGGCTGCCTTCAGGTACGGCTTGACGTGGGCCTTCAGACTCACCGGAACTCACGTCATTGCCATTATCTCCACGTCTCTCAGCCCCAGGTGCACTGGGCACACTTCCTAGGGAGGATCCCCAGAGGCCTCAAGATAACTGTGTAGGGCCTCCCCTGGTGGCGCAGCGGTTGAGCGCTGTGCTGCAAGGCTGCCCACAGCCTCTGCAGTGCCGGTTTGATCCCCGGTCACTGGCGAGGGTCCCACATGGCGCTACAGACCCCTCCTGCTGTGCCCGCTGCTCCCTTCAGCAGTGTATTTCATCAGTCTGCCTGTTCTGCTCCCCGCTCTGGCTCTGGTGAATTCTCTCACCCTCCCGCGCTTCTGACTGTGCCCAGTGCTTGTATAAATAAATAAATAAATCTTAAAAAAAAAAAAAAAGACAGCTGTGCAGTGGGTGTTCTGAGCAGTCTGAACTGAGGAGACACAAACACGGAACCCCTTTTGGTCTCCTATTGTTCATTTTAAACGTGCTCTGATGGATCCCTTTTCCCTTCCCCTGAGGACACCCTGGACAGATCCCAGAGGTTTCTGATCACTTTTAGGCACTAGAAAGTTCAGATCAGTCTGGTCCATTTTACAAGTTCACTCTCCAATCCAATCTAAGGCCTTTCTCTCTAGCGGGGCAGACCTGTGGCCCGAGGGAGCTGCCCTGTAAGGGGACGTGCTCCTTCACCATCACCCCCTCCTCCCTCTGCCCCGCCTGGGCCCTACTCCCGGCCTGCACCTGTGAACAGATGCCAAGTCCTGCCTGACTGGGGCGCCTCTCCGGGCCTCCCCTGCAGTGGCTTCGGGCATGGCACAGATTCAGTTTTCAGAGGCTACTGGGAATCCCCACGGCGCAGGGCTCACAGTTCCTACCTCACCGCGTCTTGGGGCTGGGGTCCCCCGGCGGCAGTCTAGACAAGACGGACAGCGCCTCGATGCCCCGGCAGCGTCCACGTGTGCCCTGGAGACCCATGTTGGCCACACCGACAGGGGCTGCTCCCTCCGCTGTCCCCCTTCTGCCTTGACGTCTCTCTCGGCTACTCCTCCTGCGCCCCAGCAGCAGGAAGGGCACCAGGCCTGCGGCCGCAGCGGAGGAGGAGCACCTGGGCCAGGAAACACCAGGCTCGGGCAGCTGCTGCCCTGAGTCCCGCTCCTTGGCGCGCAACTGCGGAGGGCTCTTCGTGAGGCAGGAGGCTCCTCATTCTGACAAGTTTTCCTTCAGTCCCGCTGAATCTCTTCACGGA